TTCCTTTCCGCACGGGATGGTTACTTCCCGAGGTCTCCGTTACCCGATAAGGAAAACTTGCCATTTCGGGCAAGTTTGCCTGCCTCCGTTTTTTCGGCACACCAACCAAATCCCGGTGCGCTTCCTTTATGCACGGGATAGCTACTTCCCGAGGTCTCCGTTACCCGATAAGCAAGACTTGCCATTTCGGGCAAGTTTGCCTCCGCTTTTATAGCACACCAACCAATCCCGGTGCGCCTCCTTTCCGCACGGGATGGCTGGTATGCTGGTGGACTCTAGACATTCGCCAGCGTACCCGCCATACCAGCCATCCCGTGTGAAAGGCGGCACGGGGATCGGTTCGTGTGCTATAAAAGCGGGGGTAGGCAGAGTGGAAAAGTATTGGTTGGTGTGCTATAAAAGCAGGGGTAGACAGTCTGAGAGTGGAAACGAAAGTCTTAGTGCTCGTCTTTGCCCCCAGCAGCGGGGTTGCAAAACATATTCTCCGAAGGCTGGCTGGCGGCCAGCTACTGCTAGCCAGTGTGGTTTAAGCCTGAGGCTTGGACCCCACTGGCCGGCGGCTGGAAACTGGTGTTGGCCATAAAAAATGGCCGACCGTGGTTGGAAACATTCTTCCTCGTTTCATTGGGACCACACCGCAGGCCGATAGTTTCGGCATGGAAACGTTTGGGCATAATACCCGAATAGGAAATTGCACCGGGGTGTTTCCCAAAAAGGCAAGCCCGGCGGGGGCTGTGGTCCATGGTCTGCTTGCGCAGCCAATGAAGTGTCTACAAAACACCACAACGTCCAGTCCGATCCTGGAAACTCTTTTCCATGCCCCCCCCTCTACTTGTCTGGAGCCGTCCTTGGAAACTGTTTGGAAACTCGTTGCCAACAATTTCCAGACCGCGAGCCGAGTAGAAATGCCCCGTCAGCTTTTCCACGACCTCTTTCCAACCGCAGTGGGGTCTGAAATTCCTTTCCGGGCCAACTTTCCACGACGGTTTCCAACACCTGTGGGGTCTGAAAAACACTTCCTCGCCAAACCTTTTCCATGCCGCCGGCCAGTGGGGTCCAAGCCTGAGAGTCCTTGCTACACTACCTAAGGAAAGGCACTCCTCAGTTTTTGACTTTTTTTTCCCCAAAGTGCTGTCAAAGGTCACTCCCGAGTGTCGCTCTTGTTGACGATTCAAGAGCGCCAGCCTGCAAGCTCATTCGCCACACCACTCTTGAAATGTGCAAAATGAGAATCAACTTCCCACTATGGCCAGATGCACCCACCACATTTTCTCTTTCACATTTCGAGAGTGGTTTGGCTAATCGAGAGTAGGTGGACTGCGGAAGCCACAATGTGCTTCTTTCTTTCTTTTTCTTTCTTTCTTTCTTCCCTCCTTCCCCCCCCCCCCCCCCCCCCCCCCCCCC